ATATATATATATATGCATTACGAAGAATATGCAATATTTGTATAAATATCGGCAATGACAGTGATTGTCACTGGCAAGAATTATTTCATTAAGCTAATTTCATAAACCGCGAAAACTAAATGCATTCTGCGCATTAATGTTTGTTACTTGTGGTTAGAGTCACGTTTATTTTTAAGACAATAGTGGTAAAGATTTTTTACACTCTCTAAAAAAGTCTATTTCCACTTTATACAATGTATACAGCCTATAATCCTCTCCATTTTTCTTTTTCTCCAACTTTCGTTATCATTAACTTCTCTTTGATAAGAATAAAAAAGAAATATAAGGATTCAATTTTGAAACTTTCTTCTAATGTTATAATGTAAAAACCATTATATGCGAAAAATATTCAACAAAAATTATACAAACGTTCCACCGCCGGATTCTTTGCACTTCATACATAGTTCCTTAACGCTTTACATAACAGAATTAAGCTGCTAATGTTTATGTTAGAACAATGGAGTTTGAGGGGATTTTCTAGCCTGAACTTTTAAAAAAATCAATTTTTTTTGCATATTCCTAAAGGATATAGTTTCAAAAATTAACGAAATTATGGTTGTTTGAAGAATGTGACGACTTTATATCATAATCGATATACTAAAGGCATTTTTTTTGAAATTATGTTTTTCAGAATGGTGTCCATGATATCTCAAAACCTACTGACCAATTAGATTAAAAATTTTAAGTACATATTTAATACATGTTTAACTACGGCCCCTACTAGAATCAGCCACATTTTTAATTACTGACTTCTTTCTTTTGTTTTAGTAGTTGCTATAGCCAAATTCATGCTAATTAAGGAACTTTCGCGTTTCTTTATATCAGGAGAGCAGAATGACCGGAATCGTGGACGCCGTGAGATGGCCTTTTTTAAAAGCGACTATGTTTGAGAGTATGCAGTACCACCAATTTTAACTGTTTTTTTTGTCCCGAAAAAATTTAAAACGTCGTTGAAATACGAATATAAGAAATTTATAAAAGAACATTGTTAGAATAAAAATACATGTCACTTGAGAGTGCAGTAAATTCTCCCAAATTGCCCTTCAGTTTAGAAACAAAAATGGACAATTTGGGAAGTGGAGATACCATTATCAGTTTTTATAGTTGCCGATTATCAACAACTATAAAAATGAGTCACGAGGCTCGAATAATCGTATCTGCTCTTCCCAAGTTGTCCATTTTTGTTTCCAAGCTGAGGAACAATTTGGGAGAATTTACGGCACTCACAAGTGACATGTATTTTTATTCTAACAATGTTCTTTTATAAATTTCTTATATTTTATTTTTGCATTAATAAATATCTGAACGTATTATTTAACAATATAGTATAAATAAATATATCTCGAACAGAAAAAATAATATTTATAGCATTTTTTCTTGCATGGATACAAAATGACCCACACTTAAGCAGACCTTAAACCATGCAATACCTTTAATACCCTAGAGTTAAGAAAAATGTTGAACGCGTATTTCTAGCTTTTTGAATTTTGTGCAAATATAGGTAAGCCTTGCAGAGATTCATTAAGTTATATCGCCATTACAAATAGAACTATTGATACCACTAATCTTGGATAACTATGTGTACAGACCATACCAATACACTCAGTCGATAAAATAAGACATACAAAGGCTTGACAAATGTATTGTGGTAATTATGTTTAAATTATACTGATGCAACTTGATCAATTGAGACTTACCTTTTTGTCAGGCCGCTGCAGGACAATATAGGAACTTCGCTTGATAACGACGCCAATGGATAAAAACTCCGCCCAGGAAAAACCTAATAGAAGCAAAAAGAACATCGACTAATTGGAATAGTTCAAAAATAATATTTCATTTAGCTATCACTCTTAGCTAATGCTAGCCACCTATGTGTCTTTTTGAATCATTGCAATGCAAAAAATTCTATAATTTTGACATAATATAGACATAGCCATGTATAACCTTGACATAATGAAGAAAATATTAAAAACTAGACTTGGAGATAAGGAGCAAAATAAACAAAATAGCTTAAGGAAAAAAGACAAGTGAGGTTAGGCTGAAATTAGTTAGTAATTAATCAAAAGTATTGAATTATTTATTTCCAGCAAGTATATTTTTCTTCTACAGTAATTTTTTTAAAGTTTCCATAGTCATCGAGAGTTTCGAATTCGAAAGTTTCGTACTCAAAAATTTACGTTGAATCGTGACCTTGAAAGTTTTGAGTTAACTGTTTATTTGATATCTTTGAGAAGAAAACTCCCAACAAACACCATTTTTTAAACTCTTAATTAAGCATGACCCCTTAAATCAACCTCTGGTCTAGTAAAAACAACGTAAATTCTACAATTGCATTTGAATCATCTAGATTTAGCTACGTCAGACGATCTCTATCAATATTTAAATACGAAGTTTCCAGATACCAGGACTAAGAGATCAGGACCTTGATGAACTCTATAGCCATGGACGCAAGCTTATGGACCTCTGTACTTCTTCAGTATAGGTTTAGTAGTTTGGAAGCCCGAGCTTAGACATTCTCAGATCCCGGAAACCAAGTCTGACTTCCTTCGAACCAGCCATAGTACTACCTAATTCGGAATCTCTGACTTTAGTCCTCCAATTAATTCTATTCGAGAAAGAAAGGTTGTGGAAGGGGGTAGACAGAAACAAGGTGGTAGAAGGTACAGTGAGGGGAAGAAGGAAAAACAATACCCACAAAGCAAAGTTGGACAAAATGTAATCGGAAATCTAACTGATGTCTAAGTGAAAATAACTTTCCTCTTTTAATCATTTGAATAAGTTGTACATAATATAAAAATATTTTCAAATTCGTTTGTTTTTACAACTTTACCCTTTTGACGTAGTTACCCTTGCCAAAAATGCATAAAATCCGCAGTCTACTAGTAATTAAAGAATATTAATTGTAGTTGAAATACACGGTAATTGATGATTAGTAATTACGCATTAATGATTCATTAATTAGTCATTTGTGATTCGTGAAAACTTGATTAAATTAGTCATTAGTCATTAATTAATGTGATAAGGGGTAATCGATTGTTATTAATATATACTGCAAAAATTGATTAAAAATAAATATTAACTTTCGGAAGACGAATGGTTTTTGACGGTTGCTGGAGACGAATGCAGGGTCATTTTGAGTCATAATAAAATTCACGTTAGAAACTGGTGTCTTATGTAGATGAATGTATATGAAGTATATGAGTGTGTATGAATGCATATGAGTGTATATGAATGTATATGAGGGTATATGAAGGAATATGAAAGTATATGAAGGTATGAGAAGGTATAACCATTCTCTAAAATTAATAATACGTAGGGATATGTAAAGTACCCCTACATGTAAACAGAAAATGATTTTAGTTACCTTAATGGAGTTAACAGAAATTGGTATTTTATGTAAATACAATACAACAAATAAATTTACAATTATACATCAGAAGCATAATAGTATACTGGTATAAGAGTGAATGCATTAAGTAAACAAATGAGAATTCGCCTTCATAAGTATCCTAATTGCAAAGTTCTTGTCCGATAACTTATTCTACTTCGGTAAATCGTGCCCGAAATTTCAATACTAATATAATTATTAATGACGAATGACCAACGATCGTGACTCGGTAAACGTAACTAAGAATTAACATGTAATAACGACTAATGAAAGTATTGTTGCCAAACGCGTCTAATGAAAGCAATTACTTTTGATAAAACATTTGTAACTAATGACTAATTTAATCTGATTAATCGTCAATCATAATTTTAGTCATCGTAAAATTTTGTCGAGAAATGCCTAACTCTGCCACAAAGTAATGGAATTACAATCAATTACGAATGCAACCGCACTTTTACATTGGATAAACTAGTTTATACGAGACTGCATATGCGTTAGTTTTCATGAAAAATGAAATTATTTGTTGGCTATTATAACAGATAATTATTGAGCACGTACCATGTATTCGTAAATTTCATCGGCTATAATTGGGACATAGTAACGGGCGGCCACGTCGAGAATGTCGAGTATATGATCCCTGCTGAACACAGATCCGCACGGATTGGAAGGATTGTTTATAATGATGGCTGCTGTCGATTCGTCAATTTGCGATTCCAAGTCATCTAGGTCAATTTCCCAGTTAAGCTCAGGCTGAAAATTAATAATCAACTTATCAACAAACTCATAATTATTTTATCGTTGCATTTGCAGTCGACAGATATAACGTTTTACATTTCATATGCAAGGTGAATTATTATCTGCAACCAGGACAATGAAATATCTCAGCTAACCTATATTTCGAGCGAAAGAGGCTAATACAATATTACAATAAGACGAACTTTTCTCTTCGATGTCAATGTTCCAACGTTTCAAAGTGATCAACGTTTTTTTTTTAAATGACATGTTTTCAGATTTGGTTATTAAAATAAAGCAAAAGTTGAAGGTATTTTTATAAAATTAAAATCAACGTATGAAGATGATATTGTATAGTTTATAGGTCTAGATATTTCCTTCCGCATATTAGTAAGTGTAGAAATATTATTAAAACTATTGAAAATATGTGATCGTTGCTGCTTAAATATTTATGGAAACTGATTCGTACATAATGTAAAATATGTTTACAAAATAGATAATTGTCTACACTTCATTAATATACTCAATAATATACACTTAATTAAAATACAACAATTTGAAATTCAAACTTTAAAAACGCGGCATGGAACTTTAGAAAATTTCTAATAAAGACTAATTTATTGCGACACATTTCTTTGACGATACAGCGTTGTTAATCAAGTAATTTAGGTGCAGCTTCCTTTATCTTTAATCACTGTTAGTAGACGAGACGACGTATTTAAGGTAAGTTTTGGTAAAACTTCTGGGTCATTAATTCTGTAGTATAGAATTCCAAAGATCTTCATTACTGTGTTAGTTAAAAATAAAGGATACGTAATCTCAATTGCTAAACTGAAAATACTGTACAAGTTTTCTAAACTTTCATGC